AAAGCCCTTTCAACAACAAATTGTAGCATCTCACGCCAGATCAGATTGAGCCCAACCTACCAAATACAAGGACCGGAACTGGGTGATGAAAGAGTCGGGATAGCTGCCACAATCACTCTAGACTTTATCTTGTTGAAGATGACAATGGCACTGGATCGACTTGGAGTCTGTACCTCATCTGCATTAAACCAAATTCCAAGGCCAAGCTGTCTTCAGTCATTAAAACAGAGAAGGAGAGCTTGCTGATTTCCCACCATGACCCTAGGATGGGGACGAGTACAAACACACATATACACATAGTGATATCCTTGGTGTGTTTTTAGCATGCCAGCCACTGCCTTGAGATGGCCATAAATTGCTCTCAAATCATTCAGGTGGTCTAGAAGCATTAATAAAGAAGTCTAACCTGTATTGACCCACTACCCTCACACAAAAGAAGACAAAGGTAGACAAAAGAAATCTCTGTGGTCAAATTATTTACATTAAGAATTGAAGAGCTTGTCTCAAAATGTGGTTGTGAATTGTGGCGATGGCTCAGCGCATCAAGTGCTTAGTGAGAAAGGATAAGGGCCTGACTGCAGATCCTCAGCATTCCCATAAAACTGGGACCCCTGATTTCCCATAGGCCCTATGCTGTGTGGCTCAGACAGGGAGATTCTCCTTATGCTTGCCTGGTCCGTCAGTCTAGTCCAAACCATGAGTTCAGAACAACCAAAGAGAGACCCTGCCTCAAAATACGGTGGAGAACTAAAGGGGATAATACCCAAAGTTGACTTCTGGCCTCCAAAAGCCCAGACTTAAAATAATTAGAAACTAAAAATCAATTAAAAGGTGTTCATAATAGATAAGAGAAAGAAATTTGTGAACTCATACAATCAATGTATGATCAGCCTCCCTCTGTTCTCTTTGGCCTCTTAACCTCAGGATGCTGTCCTGACTGGATGCTTTAAGTGCTTGCCACTAAAATGAGCAACTCTGTCTTTCCTGAGTTATGGGCTGCAAAGCACTGAGCTCAATGTGGCCTGATTGCAATGGTTTAGATAAAAGGGTGCAGTTCTCTGAGGGGCAGCATCAGACCACAAAGGGTGTGGGTCCCAGGCGGGGAGCCAGGGCGCACAGTGGGCCACTGTTGGTGGTTTAAAGCAGCAGCAGGTGGCAGACCACAGCAGGCCACGAGGGCAGCTGGTCCCACCACCAAAGGCCTCTGTGGATCCCATGTGGGTGGGAGGCGGAGGGTGAGAGATCTTGGCTAATTAGCAGGCCAGCCTGTCCCACGAGGAGCCAGATCAGATGAGAGACAGAGACAGATAGATGCCATGCAGAGAAAGTGGGTATAGTTTATTTAGTGGATTATGGAAGGAAAGGGGAAATGGGGAGAGACAGAGACAGAGAGAGAAACAGAGACAGAGAGACAGACAGAGAGAGAGAGAGAGTATAGGAGGCAGCAGCCACCTCTTTTAAAGAGAGATGGGACAGAGAGAGTGCAGGCTGGAAGCGGAAGGAAGAACAAGCCATTACATTCTCACCTCTTTTTTATAAGAAAAAAAAAGGCAGGAGGTTATGCACAACAGGTTAAAAGAATTGGGACAGCAGATTCTCAAGACTGCTTCCTGCTTATGTGTGGGGGTCATGGAGTGGGGGGGGGACCTGAGAAAGCTGGGGGCTGGTCACATCCTGGGGTAGCTGGTGGCTTTACTCCTCTCTAGGGTTTTTGGTATGGAACTGTCCATTCCCCACTTCAACCACCCAAAGCAAGCAAATCTTCCTTCTGCTTCTCTCTCTCTCTCTCTCTCTCTCTCTCTCTCTCTCTCTCTCTCTCTCTCTCTCTCTCTTTTCAGAAAAGGTGGTTGCTGCCTCTTCTCTCCTCTCCCCCTCACCCCTCTCCCACTTCCCCTTCCCTTCCATAACCCACTGAATAAACTCTACACTCAAACTCTCTCTGCATGATGTATCTGTCTGTCTTTCACCTGCCTCAGTGACCAGCCAAGGCCTCAGGAGACTGGCTGTGGCCTGGGATAATCACAAAGGCCTTGGATAACCCACCACTAACCCTCGTGGGACCGCTGCTCCTCATGGGACCATCATTGCCCCCTTATATATTTAAAAAGGAATAACACTGATCCTAATATATCTAAATCTAACTCATCTCCTCCTGGAGATGAAGTAGAATTCAACGCCTCCTACCACTGTAACACACTGCTGCTATTCAGCCTAGGAAGAAGAAAATAGAAATATAAGATATAAATTAACATTCTTGGGTCAGCCTTTCAAACCTGTGAACAGCAGGTTCATATTTTTTACGAAAAAACAATGCTAATCATTAAAGGAATGGAGACCAGTGTCCCACTTGAGACTATCCATGGCATTGTCCAAAGCACAGCATTGTGCCCGAGTCCATTACAAACACTGCTTTCTTGCTTTCATTGAATCAAAACCATAGTAGGGAAAACAAACTTGTAAAGCCTCCTGTCTTGGTGGTCATCCAGAAATCCTCTCATATTCTTACCGGAGGCCCAAAGGCTTGATGGGATTCATCACTCTATCCATTATGTTACTGCCATTGCTTGACCCTAAGGATGAGCATGAACTTATGAATTACACATATAATTGAAAAGCAAGTTAAAGGGGATATTCTAGGTTTTTTTTAAACCAGATACCAAAATGTATATCCAGTAGCTTCATGAATATGAAATCTAGAAGAGGCTATCTACGGTGAAAGAACCCCAGACATCTGTTTCCTTTGAGCTGTAGAGGGAAGAGGCTATGAGGACATCTTAGGTGCTGAAAACACTTACTATCCTTAAGCTAACAAGGTTGCTAACAGGTACTTACCAATGTGAAAAGAAATCATCTTATGTAAGATGTACGTATTTTAGTTCGTGTAAATTAAACCTCAGGTGAAAATCAAGTAGGAAAATGTACACTTTCCAAAATGAAAAACAAAAAAACCTGTAAACACTATCTATTATCTAACCATGGTTAATCCAATAAATGAATGCATTAAATATTCAAGTTACAGAGTGAGGTCCTTCTGTGCTTGGAGGCCAAGTTCAACTATGATTTCAACATGATTTCTGAAATAGCTTGTTCGATTAATATATCCATGGGCATATGCCCATACAAGTGTCACCTGGGTTTTTTCATTGTTGGCTGTGAAACTAGCACCTGTCCAGGAGACATCAACCCCTGCAGGTGTACCTAGTTATTCCCAAAGCTTCACACATGTTCACAATATTAATAAAATATGTCCCTTTCCTGGCTCTACAAGACTTACCTAGCAACCCCTCCCATATGTTGGCCAAATTTCCACATCCTGACATTGACTCTGTTCATCTCTGCAGTTCCAAGAAAGAATTGCCTTTAAGAGTGGACAGAAGGTAGCTAGGCTATCTCAATATTCACCAGGCTATCTCCTCTCTACCTGTCCCTCTGCCTTGACCTTAACTGGATCTCATTATCTCTCATGCTGGAGCAGCTACATTTCTCATTTACCTCACCTCTCTTCCCTCCACTACCGGAGATCCCACCTGCCTTGGCCTTTCTAGCGGTTGTGTGGCAACCTCAGGATCAAGCTCAAACCACTCTACTCCATAAAGGAAGCTATTTTATGAAATCTGCTATCACACATCCACGTCACCTCTTGCATGTGTTTTGCTTCATCCAGTGTTGTCCCATGGGTGCATGACTATGACTGACATTTCAGGAGGGACAATAATTCATTGTGCAGAAGTATTCTGTGCATTCCAGTAGGTTTAACAGCCCTGGCTCCTGCCCACTGCATGCCTGTGGTACCCACCTTCAGATATTGTGACAACTAAAACATGCCCCAGATGTTTCCAAACACTCTGAGCTGCCCCCTTCCCAACTGACTACCTCCTACTGGTCCTTCATACATCAAGTGCTGAGTTGAGCCACACGGAACTGCTTTGGTTATAGTCCAAGAAGATAGTATAAGCTATTTAATTTGGCTGACCTTAATATTCTGTTCTTCTGGAAGCCTTCGCTAATGATATACGAAGATACCCCATGACTGTCTCTATTAAAGAGCTCACCACCAAGCACTGTAATTGTCATCTCTTCCTCTTACCACATGGTTTAACTCTAATTAACTATGAGCACATTACCAACTCTTACATCACTTCATCTCTCTAGCACTTGTGTTGGGCGCAGAAAGAGATTAATCCCAGGCTGGCTGAACCAATGAATAGGATGGTAGGCATACTTTCCCTGATGACTCAAGGTTACTTACTATTCCTCGGTGAGTAGATGTCTGCAGGGCACAGTGAGCCACTATACTTTTTAGCTTGTCATCAAAAGACCCAGCTCAGGGCTGCCTTATTGGTGTGTGTGAACTTTGCTTTACTGCATCAGCATAAATGTCTTCAGTGGTCCTTGGTGCTCCTTAGAATCAAACGCAGATCATCTGGAGGACTATGGGGAATCACTGGTGAGTCTCCAGAATTATGCCTTTGTTTGACAGGCCTATTGCTAGCATTTTTTTCTAGCTTTAACCATTAGACTTAAGATGCTAAGTCTCCCTTCTGGCCACTAAGGCGATTGGTTTCTAGGACCTTCCTAAGTAGTGACTTTCCTTTGCAAAACTGCTTCAAGTGGCTCAGGATTTAAAAGCAGGGAAACATTCCCAGTTGAGATGAAGAGCTGCTAATGAGATGAGCCAAGTGACTTTGCCCAGTGTTTTCTAAATGGTTGCTGTTTCTCTATAGCCCCAAAGAATATGGCTCTACTTGTTTATGTCAAAATGTTTATATCAGTAAACACTGGAGTATGCATCTCAAATATAGTGCAACCTATTTGTTGTAATCAATATAGATAAAGGCCAGGCCATGAGGAGCAGAAGCAAAGGGGAAAGCCAGGGAAAAATTAACTGAAGATAGATTTTTTTTTCAGAAAAATATTCACGTGTGTTGTATCATTAAATATCTTTACTACACATCTTTACAAGTAATATGTGACTCTATCAACAAGTAACTTTTCAGGTCTTTTATTTTCAATACATTTAAAATTCTTTCCTGCTATGTAACTTAATCACATCAGTTTAAGAGACAATTAAATACACAGAAGAAAATTAGATATTTTTTACAACAAGTTATTGCTTACATGAAGGGTCCATATAATTTTATTTCCTTAGACGTAATATTATACCTTACACCAAATCCTCCCTTAGCTTGGGGTAAATTAACATTAAATAGCTAAACATAGAAACCAAGATCTATAAATAACATAAAATACCACTTAACTCTAACATGAGCTTAAACAAGACACAGTATGATGCAATATGAATCAACTTCATCCATTGGACATGTCCAGTGGGACACGAATCAGGTCTGTGCAATGATGTGCAGGGAAAGCCTCCAGCCCCAGCCGTGAGCATTTCGTCCTTGGGCTGTGTCCAATTTCATCCCAGAAATGCATCCATTTTTACACCTTCTTCTTGTTCTTAGCTTTTAGGCTGTAATAGAAGAGGAAACTTGTGAACTGCAAATAGAGGAATGGATGGTAGGTATATCACAAGCCTCCATTCTTGCAGCTCATCTGAGAAAGGATGGCCATGCTAAACTAACTAAGCTAAACATAACTAAAGCTAGTTAATGACAGGAACAGGAGACGGACACTTCTCTCGACTTTCTGCGTTTGTTGTATCGTTGTATGCGGTGCAATCGTGTTAGCTACCATCTGTTGATCAAATGCTACATTACTGATGTGAACCAGAATCACTGGTCTCTTTTTAAGTCAATTTGTCTTTCGGGATTTAGCAACCAACCACGTGTCAGAAAGTATATAAATGATACAAAGAGGAAACATCCTTGCAAGGAGAATCAAGTAGCTAATGACTATCAGATGCCCAGGGAAATCTAAACCATCATGTGAGAAAAGTTATTATGTTAAAATAATAACAAACATGACGATGGTGTTGACGTGTTGAAGTCTGTGTTTGCATGGTCTAACTCATATTCTGTCTTCTAAAGTCCGATGTCTCTAGACTGAAGACCTCCCTCCAACAGGCCTGCTGCCTACACCCTTTATTCTGTCTTTAGGACAGACTGCTTGTCTGTCAGTGACCCATACCTGAGGTAGCGCACAGTCTTTTTCACCCAGCCCTGGTTCGGATCAGCACACACGGATATTTTCCTTTTTGTGTAAAGGCTGAAAATCAAAAAAGATTTGTGTTGTTGTGTTCAGTAAGCATTTAAATGTGTTTGTTTTGCACAGAACATGCAGGAAACTTCATGTGCTAGTTTATTGTTCCACAGACTAAGCATTTGGCTGCAGAGATGAAAGGAAAGGGAAAATGCATGTAGTCCATCCTGCTAGAAGGAATGAAAGGGACTTCTTTAGACTCTCCCTGCGATGTAACAGATGACTATGAAGTTGCAGAAGATGTAATCCCAGACTTCTCATTCAATGTTGTTGCTGCCAGAGGTTTGTAACAGGTATGTATGTGGCTACTAGCTTGTATTATTCCAAAACAAAATACCCTAAATTAACCATGAATATTTTAAGTGATATTATAGTTAGCCTCATTTTCCAGTAAAGATAAAAATCTGCATTCCAAGGTGTCTTCCATGCATTACATTCAACATTATTCTAGAAAGTGACTTCTGCCCTGGGCAATGCTTACTTTTTCAAAATCTAAACTTCTGACTTACTCCGGTCCTACTTAAACTTTGAAGTACATATGAAATAAAACTGTTTTGTTCCAAGTATTATTTCTGAATAAAATTCCACTAGGTTATCATGTTTTTGAAGTCTCCATGTGTTCCTGACATAATGAAATTAAAAAGTTAATGAATAACTTACATGATAGCATTAATGTCACAAGCTTCATCCGCCAACTGTTCCGTGAATCTCACAAAAATTTTGGGAGTGTAAATGTGCTTTGTGTACCGAAGGCAGCAGTCAAAGTTGCTTGCTGCTAAAAGAAAAAATAAATAAATTCCATTGAGTTCACAGGAAAGAGTTTTCATATTTGGAAACCTAGTGGAGGCTCTTTGAGGTCTAATTTAACATAGCTCCCAGATATCATTTTTTTTTAAAAAAATAAGAAGCTGTAATTTTTGGTTCAACTAATGTAGGCAAAGTCTGCTCATGCGTTTCCTGGTCTCCCAGGCTAAAATAATCATACAGAAACTATGTTAATTACAACACTACTTGGCCAATGGCTTATGCATATTCCTAGACAGTTCTTACATCTTAATTAATTCATTTTTATTATTCTGTGTATTGCCATGAGGCTGTGGTTTACCAGGTAAAGTTCTGGCATCTGTCTCCTTTACACAGCATCTCTTTGACTCCACCTACTTCATATATATATATGTGTGTGTGTGTGTGTGTGTGTGTGTGTGTGTGTGTGTGTATTTCAACCTGGCTATATTCTCCCCTGCCACAGGCCAAAGCAGTTTCTTTATTAACCAATGGTAATAAAATATATTCACAACATGCAGAGGGGAATCCCACATCAAACTAACACAGTATACAAGCCCATGGCTTCTTTAGGTCTTTAATAAGAAATTTAATCATCTCATTGCTGTTTGCCCTAATCACTCAAGAATATGTGTATTCATCCCACCACCATCCTTTAAAAATAAAAGACTTGTATAGAGAAGCATTTCATATTCAGAATATAGGGTAGGGGAGTCAAATTTTAATCTGACCTCTGGCTACTGAGTAGGCAGTAGTGAAATTACAAAAAAAAAAAAAAATGATTTTCTAGGAACTACAAAAAAAAAAAAAAAACCCGCAGAGGAAATCGTAACCATTAGGAGTTGTGCTCAAAGCACTCTGAAACTGTTGTATGGGCTGGTGGGATTTAAATCCCGTTCATAAAGTTCACCACGTGTTTTCAGGCATGCACCTGTTGTAGATAGTGATATAATAAAGCAATATGCGGGCACTCCTCGGAGTTAAAGTGTAACCTGCTGTAAAGGTACTGAATAAATGTTATCTCAAAGTTGAAGAACAATGTCCTCCAGGTCTCACAGGGACACTGAGGCCAAGTGTCACAGTCTGAACCTTAATGGGATATTATGAACTTTACTAATATTACTTAGTTGGGAGGTTTAAAAAATGAAAGGTTGTAAGTGAAATGTTCCCCACTTTTCTGAATGACCATATATCCCGAGACTGTCACACTCAGAACATCACTCCCAGAAAAGGTACTTGGACGTTATCCTGAAGTAGAAGTGTTTCTGAAAGCCATTCATCTCCAAATCTGCTAGAATTGACAGCAGAGAAGATCCTTGGTTACTCTTTCCTCCTCCTCCTACTCATGAGCCAACCAGTCCCTCTTAGCACAGCTTCTTAGCAGGCTGCTGTCCACAGGGCACTTCCAGATGAGGTCTAGGGATGAGGAAAGCCTTTTTCCCTCCTGGACCAGCAGGAGGGGCCACACTTACCTTCTGACTGGCTGCAGAAGTGAGCTAGCACCACGGAGGCCAAAACAATGAAGAACAGGCTCTTGCCAGTGCAAGACATTCTCAGCTCCAGGAGTGATCAGCTCAGTGCTAGTGCTCAGTGCTGCGTATCCTGTGCCCTGTGAGCGTTCTGCTCCACCATCAGCCCTACTTATAGCAAAATATTGGGAATGTACACAAGAAGGCGTGTTCTCACTCGGGGTTTTCCCCCATTGATTAATCTGGCTCCTCATGTCATCACAGAGAAACCCACAGGGAAAACTTCCTGCCTTTCCCTAATGTTGGGAAGGTGTGAAGGTCAGGTGGGGGCTGGGAGGGGAGGAAGCCGAGAGGAGCACAGAGCAAGGGAGGGGAGAATCATGTTAATTCCTCTCCACGTAGGAAGAAGAAAAGCTGCTCAGACTAGAGGCCCAGAAATGGCATCTTTCCAGTTTTAACTTAATCTCCCTCTTTCTTTTTTTTTTTTTTCTCTCTGAAAGAGAGAAACAGCCTCTGAATGGGAACATTTTTATACTCCTATTGTTACACCAGTTTCCTTCCCAGCCCTGGAGGGGGAAGATCGGGCGTGCTGCAACACAAGTTTGTGATTACGTGATTGATACTTAGCCGTCACAGAAGATTCTGAATTTCTAGACCAACATCCTGAGCAGGTTGTAAAGCTGCATGACAGAAGTGTCCCAAACTCTCATGGAAAATATCATCCTCACGACCTCCCCTCAGGCATCATCTTCATCTTGATCTTCCATCAACATCTCTAAGAATCGTCTATAGTTATATGCCGTTAATCAATACTGCAACCCAGAAAATCCCCCCACCTGCCTTTTGTTCTTTGTGATGACAGACTTAATACAGAGCCTAAGAGAGGGCAGAAAACAAATACTATCAGCAATGAACAATCTGAAAGGCAATCCCGAAATGGTGACGGTAATAATAATAATAATAATGATGATGATGATGTGTCGTTATCTCTAATGTATGATAAGGGATGTCTACCATAAAAAATGAGCGGAAGCGAAAGAATCCAATAAATAAATAAATAAATAAATAAATAAATAAATAAATAAATAACTGGGATNGGAATGCTTTTAATGATTTGCCGTTAAAAACTATGTTGGAGAGTGGGTCTGGTGGTACTTGCTTTTAATACCAGGACTCAGGAGCCAAGTGAATCTCTCTAAGTTCTACAGTGAGTCCTGAGCCAGTCAGAACTGTATTGTGAGACACTGTCTCAAAAAAGAAAGTTAGAAATATACACACACTGACCAATTGCACCACTAAATACAAAATACAAAAAATACTAAATACAAAAATTGATGGAGCTGGAGAGAGTAAGAGAAAAGTCAATAATACAAACTGAAGTACCATTCCACACTTTTCAGTGATTATCCGAAAAAGCAGGTCAAGGACCCACCCCCAAAACAGGGAACTTAAACAGTATTCTAGGCCAACTAGACAACAGGCATCTCTAGAACTTTCTACCCAGAAATAAGACAGCCATTCGTCTCTGCTGTAGATGAAAGAATCTCCAAGATGAATTATATAACAGGTTACTGAAGAAGTCCTAATAAATTTCAAAAGTTTTTAAATAATAAACAGTATGTTTTTTAAAAAAAATGAAATTAAACCATCAATCAAAAGGAGAAAGAAATTTGGGGATTCACAAATATATAAAAATTGATTGACATAGTGCTAAATAACAAAAATGTCAAAAATCACTAGAAGTCGGAAAATGCTTTGAGATGAGTCGTAAACAAAAATACAGCTTTCTAAATCTTAGGAGAGGCTGTGAGCGCAGTGCTCAGGGAAGCCACAGCTGCAACACCTGCATTAAAACCAAGAAGGAGGTCAAGTCAGTCCCCTTACCTTCCTCTTCAAGACACATGAGTAAAGCAGTCTGAACCCAAAGCAGCCAAAGGCAGGAAATGGTAACACATGGAGGAGAGTAAACAAGGCCCTGGGTCCAAAGCAGTAGAGGAAATAGACGGAATCCAGTTCTTATTCTTAGTCATGGTGGACAGCATTAGCAGCTTTAATTACAATAACCAAGTAGATAGAAAGGGAAATCCTCTCAGCAATGAGAACGCATCACTGCTGACTATGGACAACTGCATGCCAGCCAAACATACAACCTGAATGAAAGGTCCGCATTTGTGAAACTGCATCAGAACTAGAATAGACTCTTGGATAGATTTAAACAAGGGATCATATTAGCAGCTATAGATTTTCTTCACAAAGAAAATCCCAGGGTAAGGTTGGTCCACTGGTTAGTTCCATCAAACAGTCAAAGAAAAATTGCTGTCAAACTCCCACAGCTTTTACAAAAAAATCAGGAGAGAAAATTTCCAACTCCTTCCATGAGTACAATGTTGGCAGACAGTAAGAGGAGAGAAAGACCGCGAGTGAGAAAATAACTACAGGTCAGGACGTCTTGTGGAAACAGACACAAGGGACCATTCAAAAGCAGGTACTGCTTTGCCGAGGACCAAGTTGGGCGGCTCCCCTCGAACTCCAGCTGTAGGGGAATCTGATACCCTCTTCTGGTCTCACAGACACATACATATGCATAATGAAGAGTAAGATAAATTTTTTTTTGAAAATTTTGCGAAAAGACACGAATACTCCTCAACAGCACACTAGCAAACCGAATCGAATCTCTTACATAATAGATTTATGGATCACAGTTAAACAGGACTAATTATACAGTCGACTAGACTGGTATGGAACTGAAGATATGTACTGCAACATTAAAAACAACACCCATTTGAAGAAGTACTTGATAGACTCAAATGCTTACTCATGATAAAAATACTCAACCATCTAGGAGTCACAGAGAAATTCCTCAATCTGATAAAGATGATCCGTGAAAACCCCAAAGTTAATGTCACGCTTACTATTGAAAGGCTTAATCCTTAATCCTGAGGGCATGAACAAAAAGACAAAGATGTCTATCGCCACTTCTGCTTAGCCCTGCACTGGATACTGAAGCACAACCAATGAATCATGAAACGGAAGGAGGGGGCATACAGACGATAAAGGAAGTGGGACCTGAATAAACGTCCAGATAACGTAAGCTCGTACATGGAAAATCCTTTTTTAAATCCTCTGATATGATTAGCACTGATAACCAAGTTCACTGAGGACCAAGACTCAACCTCACTGCACAAAAGCGATTGTCTACTATCAGCGACTTGTCTAAAGCACAGCTAAGAAAATGGCTTTATGACGCCATCAAAAGGAATCAAATATGAGCCTGCTTGTGGTGCCCCCTGCCTGTGGTATCAGCTCAGAAAATAAAAAGATAAAATAGGCATAAATGGAGAAAAGAACGGACCAGCAAGATGGCTAAGTAGATAACAGCATTTTTCTTTGAGCCAGACCTCCTGTCTTTGATCCCCAGAACCTACATGATAGAAACAGAGAGCCATTCCTTCAATTTATCCTCCGGCCTCCACATGCACACAGCTGGCATATGTACTCACAGGCCTATGCAAAATGAAAAAATTTTTAATTTGACAAAAGTAAAAATATACTAAAAACTAAAAAATGCCATTAAACCATTAAGAACGGCTACATACTCCATCTCCACAAAATAGACTTAATAAGATGGCCACGTTCACTACATTCACCTGCACATTCAACACAGTTCCCACTTAAAGCCAAGTTAGCGTCTTCTTAGAAATTAAATAAAAAGTATTTAAAATAATATGGACTCTAAAGGAATCCTGAATGGCCCACATGTCTTAAAATGAACAAAAAAACAAAAGGAAGGAGGCCTGTTTTCTCACTCCAGTCTTTGCGGCAAAGCCACTGTAACCAAGAAGTGGGTTCAAGGACAACTGTGGCCACTGGCAAAGAATTGAAACCCTGGAGTTAAACCCCCGCCTTTGAAGGACCGATGTTTTGCTTACTGTGACAATGGCAGTTGGTGAAAGAAAGAGTCTTCTCAGTAAATAGTGCTAGATAGTCACGTGAAAAAAATATTAGACTCGCAATATACCCCAAATAGCTCATAAATTTAAACTATCAAATCCCCTGCGGTAAATACAGAAGTCAATCTTCTTGACCATGGATTATGCAGTGGCTTTTATATCTGTCATCTTAAAGCTCAAGCAATGGTACAAAAGAAAGAATTAAGTAAATTATATAAAAGCTAGCAACAGGGTGAAAGGGGGATGGGGACTGCAGGGAGTGACCACAAGTGGAGTGTAATGATACACCTGCATGAGACATTACCAAACAACAACAACAACAAAAAAAAAATTTGCACATGCACACACACAGGCATGTACAAAATAAATATATTAAAATTTAATTAATTGTTTAATGAACAAAGTGCATGAGTAGCCATTTCTCCAAAAGGGCTATCTAAATGCCCGGTGAGCACGTGTGAAAGCTCAAGATACTTAGGGTTCTCAATCACTCAGGAAATGCAAATCAAAACCACCATAACATACCACCTCACGCCCACCAGGATGGCTTTAATCAATAAGAAAACAGGCAAAGCTGCCAGTGCGGTAGAGAAATGGAACCTCACAACATCGTTCCTGGGAGTGAGAAATGGAGTAGAGATTGTGGCAACAGTTTGACAATTCTTCGAGTGTTTAATCAGAGGGTTGGGCCCTGCAATTTCATCCCTAGACATACATCCAAAAGAATGAAAACACACATCCATGCACAGACTTCATGGATGGCTGTGCTCACAGTAGCTAACAAGTAGAAACAGTTCACGTGTCGTCTGCTAATGAATAGATAAACTCAATGAAATACTACCCAGTAACCAAAATGAATGAGGCAATAGAAACAACAAAACGCATGAACCTAAGAAAACACTGTCCTAGGTGGAAGAGGCCCTGTGCTAGGAATGGCTACCCACACACAATTCCTTCAGTGTGAACTGTTCGGACCTGGCAGTAAGAGCTGAGAGGCAACGCAGGGATTGTCCAGTGCAAAGCTGAGGGAATGAAAGCAGAAAGCGGGAGACAGATGATGGATCTGCGTTAATTTGTTCTTCTTTATCCAAAAACAGACACTGGTAAAGGTTGCACAGCCTGGGGAGTATACTAAAACACACTGAACCGTGCAGCTTAGCTGCTGGTTTTTATGGTATGTCAATTAAAC